AAATGGATGGATCTAGAAAAAATCATCCTGAGTGAGGTAACCCAGACTCAGAAAGACAAATATGGTATGTACTCACTCATAGGAAGATGCTAGATGTGGAACAAGGATGACTGGACTGCTACTCACATCACCAGTGAGGCTACCTGGAAAATGGGACCCCAAAAAAGACATGGAGAAATCGATGAGATCTACATGAACAGCCTGGTCATGAGTGGGAGCAATGAAGGGTGACGGTCGAGGCCAAGTTAACTTTTAATAGTTGTTTCTACATGACTTCTAGCATGCATCCCGTGCCTGATACTACAAAAGGGGGCCAGTACCCACCTCCATCGCCACAGCCTCAGAATTCCAACACTGGCTGTGGTCTCAGCTAGCTGATAAGTTTTTGTGCCCCGTGGTGTTTTTTTTTTTTTTAATTTTTAATTTTTCTGGAATAAAGTTTGCTTCTGGTTTAATAGACTTTGGTGGTCTGTCCCCCATTATTTCGAGACCTCCAGATCCAACACAGTAAACAAACTAATAAAGCAATAAATACTCAGATTTCCACGCCTGTGTTCCTTCACAACTGGCTCCTGTCCATCAGTAGGAAGATGTCTTCTCCAGGCCTCAGATCTGGCTTCTCAGGCTGTTCCTGCCCCTAAGAAACTCACATATGAGAATAATGCAGGACCAGTGAATTCCAAGGCATCCACATTTTCATGTCGCAGTGATGAGGGGACAAGTCTTGGAACTTGACTGGCATCCCTACAAACACAGGTGGTCAGGGAAGCTGCCCTCATAGACAAGGTGAATGTTGTGTCTTCACACTGTGTGTGTCACCTGGTGCATCTGCTGTGGGCTAGAGAACCAGAGGAAACACTGTACCAAAATAACTAAATTATTCCACCCTTGAAATCAGCTGTCAAGAGCTCCTTCTGGGATGTGAAGTGGACATTGGAGTTTGGCAAATAAAGACAGCTTCCTGTGCTGGGAAGATAATAGGAAGAACTACTCAGGAGTCATAGCTCACATCTAGTGTAAAAACGAAGGAATGTAGTAAACATGGTAAGTCTTCAGAAATGTTAGAAATAGCATGTTAAGATATTATGCCTTTTGTTTGAGTCTGTAGGTCCCACAATTACAAACATCCCCGAGCAACTCAGTACATAATTTTCTACCAAATACAATGAAATTCTTGTTGGCATTTCAAAGGATAAGTGTTGTTGTCGAATATTATTTTAACTAGGCAAAGGTGTGTTACCTTTGTTTATGCTGCATTTGCTTAACGATGTAAGGATGTGTGTTTAATTATGATGTAAAGATGTGCTGCATCTGTTTCACCTTACCTGCCTAAGGCACCTGATTGGTCTAAGAAAGAGCTGAATGGCCAATAGCTAGGCAGGAGGGAGATAGGTAGGACTGATAGGCAGGGAGAATAAATAGGAGGATATGGTGATATTTTATTTGTGCTGAAATGTGATTTTATTTGTATGTTAATAAATAAAAGTGCCTGGGGGTCATTGCTAATAGCAAGCCATAACAGAAGTCTGGCAGTGGTGGTAGCACATACCCTTAATCCCGATCACATGACAGGCAGATCTCTGTGTGTTCAAGGACACCACCAGCATGGAGACACACGCCTTTAATCTCAATACTAACCATAGAAGACCTGGAGGTCTGTATAGACAGGCAGTGACGAGAAGGTCATGTGGTTGGGTTCACAACCAATGAGAAGACAGAACAGAAAGTCAATAAAAAGACAGACACACAGGAAGTAGCTCTCTTCCCAGGGGAAGGACGGCAGTGGCAGCAGGTGATAAGAAGGTGGTTTTAGTCTCAGCTCTTAGCTACTGCTCTGACCTCTTGGGCTTTTACAAGATTCTACATTTGGCTCTGTGTTTCTTATTTAATAAGACTATTACATCTGTAGGAGGAGAAATCTACACTAAAATAGAAGAGAAGGGAGAAGGAGAAAAAGAAACAGAGGAGACGCCCAAGGCCAGAAGCCAGGCAGCTGCCAATCGGCCAGACATAAAGAGAGCAAGAAAGAAAAGGTAAAAAGCCCCTGAGCCAAGAAGCAGATAAAGAGAAACATGTTAATTTCAGTTAAAAGAGCTACATGCTTACTATGGGCTGAGCATTCAAAACTAACAAGTCTCTGTGTCATGATTGGGGAGCTGGCTGGTGGCCACAAAGAAAAAGCCTGTTACATTTTTAAATACACGGTTCAGAGGTTTTTTGTTTGTTTGTTTGTTTTGTTTTTTTTCCATCTGAACCTGCTTTATTGCCTATCCCCAGCATTTTTTTATTTTTGTCTGCATGAGCAAAAAAACTCCTAAGCTATAGCTGATTCCTCTGCTGCGGCCTTGGAGGCTGGCTCCACTCCCTCCTCAGTCACGGAAGCCAAGCCTAAGGGCTGGGCTCAGAGGCTCCTTGGACGGGAAACACTTTTCAACTTCCCAGCTCTAGGAAAGGGGGGTCCCACACTATGGCAAGCGTTCTTATTTTTGTTTCTATTTAACATACCAGCTTCTCAAGGGCTTGCTGTTTGGCAGAGACTCTTACAGGAGCTGTGCCCATTTTTGTTTGTTTTGTTTTGTTTTTTTAAGCTTTTTCAGGTTCTATGTGGAAATACCAGCCCCATGTTGGTGCCAAAATGTACCAGGCCATTCAGCTTTTTACTAGATCAATCAGGTGCCATTGGTATGTAAGGTGAAACAGATTCAACACATCTTTACATAATTAAACACGCATCCTTACATCGGTTAATGCAGCAGAAACAAAAATAGCACACCTTTTCACAGTTAAAGCAGTATTCTGCAGCATAAACAAATGTAACACATCTTTGGCTAGTTAAAATAATATCTCACAACAAAATGCACTCAAGGAGGAAATTTTAAAAATGAGTTATTGTGTTTAAATTTTGAGATGAAGCAGCCATGAATTGAAACATGAAATTTCTGCTTAAAGATCAAAATACTGAAAAATAAAATTCTTGAAATGGAGGTTGCCTATTTAAAATTTTAGCCCTATTGAGTATGTAAATTGGGAAGGGCAAATATCTGTAACATTGGGAATAATTTACATTAATATGGCCTCTGGTGATGGGATGGCCAAACACCCTAATAGTCATGCCAGAAACCCCATCCAAGGACTGAGGAATCTGGATGCAGAGATCCACAGCTAGGTCCCGGGTGGAGCTCCGGGAGTCTAATTAGTGAGAAAGAGGAGTGTTTATATGAGCAAGAATTGTTGAAACCAAGGTTGGATAAAGCATAGGGACAAATAGCCAAACGAATGGAAACACATGAACTATGAACCAAAGGCTGAGGGGCCCCCAACTGGATCAGGCCCTCTGAATAGGTGTGACAGTTGATTGGCTTGATCTGTTTGGGAGGCATCTAGGCAGTGGTACCAGGTCCTGGACTCATTGCATGAGTTGGCTGTTTGAAACCTGGGACTTATGCAGGGACTCTTGGCTCAGTCTGGGAGGAGGGGACTGGACCTGCCTGGACTGAGTCTACCAGGTCCATCTCAGTCCTCGGGGGAGGCTTTGCCCTGGAGGAAGTGGGAACGGGGGATGGGATGGGGGGAAGGCAAGGGGGTAGGAGGGGGGAGAACAAGGGAATCTGTGGCTGATATGTAGAACTGAATGTTATTGTAAAATAAAATAAAAGGAAAAAATATGGCCTCTTATGATATCTGGGTGTAATTTGGTACAAATATGCTTAGAATGTGATTATCTGTACATTTGACGGTGTTTGGCATATTAAGAATTCATACACTTGACATCTCCCTCTCTGCTCCAAAGTGTGCACCCGTACACTCATCTGCACACACGTGGGCTCTTACACCACACACTTATGCCACACATACACACGGAAATTTATTTTAAAAATAAGTGAAAGCAATGTGTCACAAAATACCCCAAATCATGTTTCTATGTGTATGAAATGTCTAGAACAGTGAAATCTGTAGGTACTGAATGCAAATTCATTTTTCTTTGATGGAGAGGGCTTCAGAGTGGTTTTCAGAGGGGCTAT